GTGTGGCTTTTCCTCAGATGGATTACGTGGGAAAGAAGCGCGATCAGGCATGCGCTGATAGTAACCATTCATAGGCCGCATCCCACGAGCTGAATCGGATATACGGCCCCGCCCATAGCCATTGCCTGAATAAATGAGATTGCGAGATTCGAAGACCTTACCTCTGCGGTTTCGCATCTGACCCGAGTTAGAGGGACCTTGATAGGATGGGGCGTTTCCAGAAGCCATACCTGAGAAACGACCTCGACCACGAACGCCACTGGGGTGCGCCGGTGGCTCGATATCAAGTTCACGCCATTTTAGTTTCTCTGCAAAGTCAAATGGATTAACTAAAACGTTCGTACTGTTTTTGGGCTTTTCTTCGATCTTTTGGTTAAAACTACGTCGCTCCGAAGGCACAGAAGGTTCTGGCCAAACATCGGCTTCAAGGAGTTTGTTTTCTGACGGCTGAGTGGGACCTGCACAAAAATTACCTCAGAAAATAGTGACTTACGACATTTCCAGGGATTGGTCTTCTCAGCTCTAACTTGGTTTTCTTGTGAATCAGCTACTCCATTATAAACATCGGATTTGGCACTGACTGAGTGTGGGGTTACACTGAGATCTGACAGTTTTGATGTCAACGAATTGCTCATTCCTATTGTCTAAAGGTGAAAAGGGTGCATAGGTTACATATCTGACTACGGTGCAAACAGTTAGGATTTGAACAAAGCAATGGGTTTAAAATCTCATAAATGATTAGTCGTAATGATAGGTAAAAAAAAAAACACTGACATGTGCCGGTAGGCACGGAAGGGTTGTTGGAGTAGGCTCGATTCTGAAGACGATTTTTACCGAGGGATGAACACTGGGTCCCACTATTATGTTGCCTAAGCATGGTCTAACACAACAATCCAAAAGCAGACTAGCAGACGAGAAACCATGGTATCGGAGATCTTGATTGCCCAGAATTCAACTAAACAAAATTTATTTTTATGTCAAGCCGTGAATACAGTCAAGGCAAAGCACAAACGTAGCCTATAAGATGTCAGGAAGTATAGTAAGGAAGGACTAGTAGCTGAATATAAATGCAATAAATATGAAAATCAGGTCAAGAATGGTGGAAGCACGAATTCCACCATGATGTGTACTCTGGGCTTCTTTCGCCGACAAAATGACTAATTGCAAACGGCTAGTGATAGTGCTGGCACAAAAACCTCTTGCAAAGGAAAAGCCTACGCTTCATTCTCTAAAAGCTAACTAAAGATATAGATGGGTGCAAACATGCGTCTTCTGGACATTCTGGCAAGCTTAACGCTAACTCCCACTCCACATACTCTATTCCCTTCTACCTAAAAAACCCAAAGTACGTTCTGAAACTATCACTCCTTATCGAAATATCTCTCGGATCCTTGCCAAACTAATCACTTCCACAGTGATGAACTCGTGGTTTTTATTTGATTTCAAGGGCATTAATGAACTACAACTATCATGAAGGACAGAGAGGAGGATAGGGGTTGTACCCAGATGAAAAAGCGAAATGCATCTTGCGCAACTTCAAAATCGGAATTTCAGTCTCAATGGCACTGAAGATGGGGACAATGATGGAGACAATTACTTGAGACGTGTGATAAAATGGGAGCCAGGAACCATCGATGAAGTAACAGGAAACGGTCGAAATGCTGGTACAGTAGTCGCCGGTTATTAAGCCCACAGTTAATAGGCCCAGCCGCTTACTAAGCCCACTTTGGTCTGGGCCCGAGGTGGGCTTAATAACCGGCGACTACTGTAGTAAGAATCAGTTCTTAGATTATGGTAAGATAATGAGCAACTCGTGTGGATATACTGCGGGGGCCCTCTACCTAGCTGCAATTTAAACATTCAAATCTCCCTTCCAACCTTACTTTAGGGTGTCGTTACTACAACAAGAAATTGGATACGCGAAAGCACGAATACCCAAACTGCAGACCCAGAAAAACGACCTTTAATGTAGCGAGGTCCGTGTGTTGCGTTAAATTTCACCACGACTCTCCCAAAACTGAGTTTCCTTAACCAAGGAAGCTAAATGCAACTACTTTGTTTCGGGGTTACGCTTAGGTTACGGACCATATCACGTATGGTTAGAGAATAAACGAGACGCCACCAGAGTAGTGAGAAAAAAATGATACCGATTCATGAGTACAAGAAGTCGGTGGCAGCCGTGAAGTGAAGCAATCGAGGTCTTGATGAAGTTACTGGACAAATTATCAACGGATAAAGGTGAGCCTGCAAATGTATTACTGGACCGTCAATTGCGTGTGGTAGAAGGCAGTTGGGTGCAAGTACGTCATTGTGACCAGACGTAGGCGCTAGAACTGAGAGACAGTCATGATATCACATGTGGTCATGGCGGCGAGAAAACGTAGGTGTATCTCGTCAGGAAAGTCGGCGCCCAAACCTCGAGGCACGTTAATGCCAGAAAAGGTGATTGTCCTGGAAACGCCTTTAGACCGTAAGGTCGTGGATAGTGCGCCTTTTAGAGCCGGTAACCATGGTTCGGAGCGCGACTGGCAGAGGAAGCGGATTGAGCCAGGATACTGCACGTCCTCACAGTACTGGATGCCTTGGTCATAGGTTACGAAGATTAGACCTATTACCCT